CTTGTCCTTTCCAGTAACATCACTTTGCAACCAACCTGCTCACTGTGATCCTGGCTGCCTAAAATTAAGTAGGACCCTGGGCCTCAAAAGGTTACCTTTCTTTGGGCTAGATGGAAAAGTGATTTTAAGTATAAAACACCCCCTATGTTCCAGTGCATTGATAACACTGTTCTCCCTCCTGGCAATGAACTTGCAACCTGGATTTCGACTCTCTAGGTCTCTAGACTTCAGGAAACAGTATCTCTGTCTTTTCAGGTTTAGGCCCTGGAGACAATTTCAAATGTCCTTACTTGGTTAGACCTTAGCTGCATCTCTCTTGGGGCCTGCCTGAGACTCTGCCATCTTGGATTTTGGCTGAAACAAAATTGAGGGGATGAGCCCTGGGCTCATCTTACCCAACTGAATAGGTTTTCCTCATCCCTGAGGAGGCAAACTGACTCCAAGCTGACATACTGCAGCCTTTCACTCCTGGCAATAAAGTCACTCAGCCCAGATGAAGCTTTTGTCAAACAAACAGTTTTGGGATTTAAACCTACAAACGATAAGACTAAAGTCCCCCCCCCCCCCCATATTATGGTATAATTTATAACATTTTACATGTTCCACACAGGAGATTTTTTACCTTGGCTTGAATTGTCACACTACCTATTATGGAGACAATAGTATAGTCTCATGTAAAATAACCACATGTGTGTATGTTCAACTATAAAGGTTGAGTTAGTAATCCATGTATTCTTGAACTGTCCTTTGTACTATCCATGGCAGCTGACACTCATAAACCTAATTGTCAAAAACTGTCTTTCTGATCAAGATATTAGAAAGCTCCTTCTATAAGGAGCCTAACCTGGGCAATCATTAAAAAGGTTGCCAGGTTTCTAGCAACAGCTGTGGCTTGCAAAAGTCACTTGGTACCCTCCTTTTATTATTAATTGACTTCGGTCAATTGACAAGAATTGGCAAACATTTTGCTAGAATTATTTGGCCAGCTCAAGGAGAGGCAAAGAACACTTTAATAAAATAGCGATGGAAGTCTTGGAGGGAATATACTGATCCAACATCTTTTGCAGAAAGTTAAAACTGGAAGCAACCATTGAGACAGCATTTCATATTTCTACCAAATATGAACATGGTGATAGTGGGATTGAGAGAAGGACTGAGTATCTTAAAGTTTGGGTAGGCTTTTGGAGAATGTAAACTTTCAGGAACTGTGTCATGTTCTATAGTCCCAGTTTCAAGACATCTACTTTACTAAGGTATCAATTAACTTAGAAATAAGTCTCATTAGAAAATATGCTATCCAGTGCACCGTGTTTGGCTATTACCTATGATGAAAGATAAGAAACCTTAAGAAATTGACTTCTTGCTACAGTACTTACAAATAGAACTGGGTTTAGAGACCAATATTGCTCCTCTCCCAATATCACACCTCTCCAGCTTCTTTTAGGCTGGAGTTTATTTATTTATTTTAGAGTCTGCCCAAATCATAAGGCTTCGGGGTGGGGGGCAGGGATAATGCATTCAAATATTTCAAAACAACAGTAATAATAAATCAATTATCTCCCAAGGTGAATGAATGCCAAGAAGATTTAACTAGGGTTGAAAGTTTAGTGAAATAAAATGGATCTTCTAAATGCTATGAAAGTGCTAGCATTTGTACCAAGCTGACCAATTTAAATAAACCATAAAAGTAAGATACATAAGAATGCTCATGGATCAGATCAGATATCTAATGCCTCAATTTGCATAAATGTAACATGGCTAAACATGTAACATGGCTGCTATGTGGTTCAGCTGAGGCCTTGGTCACTGCTTGGAATGAGGCAGTGGGGGTGGCCTTAGGCCAGATTGCACCTATGCGGACTCTGGCTGTGTGCATATCCCAGTGTTCCCCCTGGTTTATAGAGGACTTCTGGAAGATGAAGCAGCAGAAGAGATGCCTAGAGGACCACTAGAGGAAATGTAGGAGTGAATCTGACCAGACACAGATAACACCCTTTATTAGGGCTTACCATGGCAATAAGAGTGGTGAAACATGCTTATTTCTTTGCTTTTATTGCCTCTTTTGAGTGTTGCCCAGCAGCCCTGCTTGGTCAGGAGGGACCAGGAGAGTATCTGCAGGGTTATTGTGAAAACTGTTCTCAACACCTGGTGGACAAAATCTCTCAAATTTGCTCAGAGTTGTACTCTAGCTGGGCAGGTCCTATGAAGTTGAATGAAGTATGGTCTTGTGATGTTACACGGGAGGAGTTTGATCCTATTAGTCCTGAGGAAGTGGATAGCATCCTAGGTACTGTGGGTGCAGTCATCTCTGTTTTAGATCTATGGCCCTACTAATTGGTTAAGGCCTCCAGGCAGGGGACATGTGGGTGGGTCCATGCAATGGTTAATGCTTCCTTGTGAGAGGGGTTCTTCTGCTGGCTCTAGAAGAGGGGATAGTCTACCTCCCTCCTCAGGAAACCATTGCTGGATCCCATAGATCTGGACAATGTTAATCCAATCTCCAATCTTCCCTTTCTGGAAAGGTTGCTGAGCAGATAGTCAGCCTACAACTCCAAAAAATCCTGTAGAAAGCAGATTCTATTTCAGTCAGGGTTCAGAGTCAGGATACAGTACTGAGATAGCCTTGGTCACATGTATGGGTGATCTCTGGCAGGCTCAGGAGGGGGGTGGTGCATCCATCCTGGCCTTCCTTGATCTCCTGGTGGCCTTCAACACCACTGACCATGGTATTGTTTTGGACTGACTTAGGGGGAAGGGAGTGGGGGGGGGCACTGTTTTGCGGTGGATTTCTTCCTTCCTCTGGGGCTGTTTCCAATTGGTGTTGGTGGGAGGAAGCAGTCTAGTCCTAGGCCCCTGCTTTGTTGGGGTGCCTCAGGGCACTCCTCTCTCCTTGACATCTAATTGAAGCCTCTGGGCAAGGTTTTCCATCTGTACAAGGTGCAGTATCATCAATAAACCGATGATACTCAATTGTACGTATTTGCTCCTGGCTGTCCAAGTGCCTGAAGGCTGGAGGGGTCTGGATAGGGAAGAACAGACTTTGGTTCAACCTTATGAAAACTGAGTAGCTGTGGGTTTTGGCCCCACAGGCCCCAGACCTTGAGAGATTTCCTCTTTGAGCCTGAGTGGGGTTGCACTGCCTTGCTTAGATTCAGTGTGCTATTTAGGGGCCCTCTTGGACTCACAGCTCTGGCTTTAAGAGCAAGTGGCAGCTGTGGCTGGGGCAGCCTTTGCACAACTTCATTTGGTGCACTGATTGCACCTGTTCTTGGATTGTGGAGTCCTGCTCACGGTCATTCATCCCTTAGTGATCTCCTGACTGGACTATTGCAACACTCTGTACACGGGGCTGCCATTGAAGATCACACAGATAGTTATGAGCATTTTTATTTTATTTTATTTTAATTTTATTTATCGAATTGTCACCGCCCAGCTCATTAAACAACTCTGGGTGGTTTGGGCACGTGACGCCTCTACTCCACAAGTTGCACTGGCTCCCAACAGACTTCCAGGTACAATTCAAGGTGCTGATTATCACCTCAGAAGCCTTACATGGCATAGGACCAGGTTTTTGCAGAACTGCCTGCTAGCAAAGGTATCTGTCTGTCCCACACAGTCTTAATAGGGAGAGCATAGTCCAGGTCCCTTCCTTGAAAGAATGGCAGCTTATGGGACCTAGCCGGTGTCCTTCTAAATGGCAGCTGCTGCCCTTTGGAACGATCTTCCCTTTGACGTATGGCTGCCCCCAACCCTGCAGCCTCAGGGAAGGTGTTTGAGACCTTTGGGCCAGAATGAATAAAGCTCCCATTCTTAGGAGTTAAAGTAGGTTCAGTGGGGTCCGCCATTTCCTTTTTTCTCTTTTATACTGCCCGGAGTCACATCATTTGAGTTGGGCAGCTACATGGCTTTAAATAAGTACATGACATGGCTGGTCTGGTTTTGTCTTAGTTTGTTGTATGAATCCAGTTAGTGTGGTCTATTCAGTAAACTATGGCCAAGTAAACCACCGCTCGGCATGCTGCACAAGCTCAGTCATCATGCCCACCACAGCGTTCCCAGAACGGTCTCACATTCCTCACTTACTGATATTTATAAAGGCACATTACTTATGAATGGGAGATAATATAGACTTGAACTGGGAATTCTGGGAGTTGCAATGCCAACACATCTGGAAAGCATCAGGAGGGGAAGGCTGCTTTAAGGGGCACATCTGGAAAGCATCCCTTTCTAAAACAACACATCTCTGAGCAAATATACTAGCCACAAGCTCGACTATGTAGATCTTCTTGAATCTTCTCTTTCATTTACAATATTTAGCCACCCTTCCTACCTAGAGTAATGCCACCCCTATTAGCCACTTGTAAATGATTCAAACCAGAAGCATAATACTACCACAGTGAAGTTTTGCCTGCAACCCGAATGGGTGTCAGCGCTTGGAGCGGAGGTCACGGAAAGATTTCAAAGCTTCTCTGGCAAGACAGTACAATGTACCGCTTTATAACGCTGAATAGCCCGAGGCAGCCGAGCCAGCGCCTTTTCTGAGCGGCGCGTCCTGTTAGCTCCCAGATCTTCGTTCGGCGGGGAGAGCCTCCCCCTAAAATGCACTAGAACGAACGTGATGTTCGTTTGACCGGAGAGAAGAAAGCCCCCTTGTGCTACACTGTACGCAGAAGGAGCTGGTTGACAGCGCCCGGGAGGTGACAGGCAGAGGGACCTTCTCCCAGCGCAGCGCCGGGCGGCTGAGTTCCCACGGCTCACCTCCAGAGCCCAGCCGATCCTTTCCCCGGGACCAAAAATGAAGGGAAAGCGACCGTTTCCATAGAAATAAGAAGCCTCCCTGCCGGGCGGGGCATCGAGAGCCAATCCCCGGCCAGAGAGGCGTGGTGGGGCAGACAGGTGACTAATCCCCACGCTGGAGAGCGGAGTCCGTGTCTCTGTGCGGGCGGGGCATAGTGTCACGTGCCAAGGGCAGTTAAAAAAAATATTGCGAAAGGGAGCAGAGCTAAGAGGAAGGTATGAGAGGGCTGCTTATAAAGCGAGGATCAGCAGGCAGAGGAGCAGAAGTCGGAGCTTCAGGGTTAAAGAAGAGCCCTTCTGAGAGCGGGCTGAGTCGTAGGAGCCTCGTAGGCTGCTGTCTCGCTTAGTCCTCTGGGGAGCTGGGCCGGGAGCCGAACTCGCCAAGACAGGCATGGGGTGTCTCGAGAAGCCCGGCATGTTGCAAGAGGCGAAGCCGGAGCTGGTGGAAGCAGAGACCCCTAACGGGTCTGTCCCGGCACTGGCGCCGGAGGTCCGCCTGACCTGGCGTCGGTGGGTGATCGTCTTGCTCTTCAGCTCCTACTCCTTCTGCAACGCGTTCCAGTGGATCCAGTACGGCAGCATCAACTTGATCTTTGCCAGGTTTTACGGCGTGACTCCTTTCGCTATCGACTGGCTCTCCATGTGCTACATGATCGTCTACATCCCCCTCCTGTTCCCTGTAGCCTGGCTGCTCGACCTGAAGGGGCTGCGGCTCATCGCTCTGGCCGGGTCCGCCCTCAATTGCTTGGGAGCCTGGGTGAAGACGGGGAGCACGAAACCCTCTCTCTTCCCAGTCACGATCCTGGGCCAGATCATCTGTTCCCTGGCGCAAGTCTTCATCCTGGGCATGCCATCCCGCATCGCTTCCGTCTGGTTTGGCCCCCGGGAGGTCTCCAGCGCCTGTTCCATCGCTGTCTTCGGTAATCAGGTAGGAAACGAAACACTCAGGTACAGATGGATTACAAAAGTCTAAGAATTGCTTACCTCAGAGAGAGAGAGGACACAAAAGACCTTGACTCCCCCCCTCCCGAAGAAAAAAAAGTTTGCAGTTTGGAAAAGTGGGAGATGATAGATGGATGATAGATAGATAGGTAGAGGAACATTCCTTCAGTCATTTAGGGCTTATGAGCAAAAGGTCTCGGCAGACGGGGGCACCTGGTTGACTGTATTAGTCCTGGGTAAGTAGGCTGGGTTGGGCCAGATAATCAGAGAGTTTCAGGTCTGTGAACTAGATTAGGAATTAAAAAAGCATCCTGGCAAAGCCAAACCACCTG